ACCTGAACCCAACGTTCCTTCCAGACGGTTCCTCCAAAATCCTTGGCCTTCCACTTATGAGGCAAGTGAGGGCCAAACCTAGCAACAAAACTTGTCTGTTGGCCAAGAAGTTTGTGCAGAGAAGCATCGCAGGAGAAATCCATTGTCACCCGCAGTACGGCATTGACCCAGAGGACACAAAACACTATTCCAGTGTTTGGAATAAGGCTGGCAAGCGGTCTACAGGCAAAAGCAGTGATGGATTTACTTACAAGCCCCCTCGGAAGAAATGGGTGTATCATTCCTACGGAGTGTTAAACACCTATGGATCTGGAGGGTATGCCTTCTATTTCTTTCCAGAAGAGCAGATCTCCAATTCTACACTGAGGCTCCAGGAACTTGAGGGAAAGAATTGGCTTGATGAGATGACCTGGGCTGTGATTGTGGAATTGACCACCCTGAATCCAGATGCCGGTCTGGTGTGTAGCGTTTCAGTTGTATTTGAAGTCTCTCCTTTAGGGGTCGTCAACTCCAGCCTCTCTGTGTACTCCTTCTCGCTATCTGATTTCAACAGAGAAACTTCGGCAGAAACCTACCTGTATGTGGCCATCCTCATTTTCTTCTGTGCCTATGTTGTGGACGAGGGCTACGTCATTACGCAAGAAAGAGCTTCCTACTTAAGAAGTGTGTACAACCTGCTCAACTTGTCTCTGAAGTGCATGTTTACCCTGCTGATATTTCTGTTCCTCCAGAAGCACCTCCTGGCCACCAGCATGGTCCAGCTTTACCTGACTCACCCTGGAACCTTCATCCCCTTCCACGCCGTTTCTCGGCTTGATCATTCCATGAGGATCATCTTGGCTTTCTTGTTATTTCTGACCATACTGAAGACACTCAGATATTCCAGATTCTTCTATGATGTGCGCTTGGCTCAGAAGGCCATCCAGGCCGCCCTTCCTGGCATCTTCCACGTGGCCCTGGTGGTATCTCTGTATGCCTTCATGTACGTAGTTTTTGGGTACCTGGTGTTCGGTCAGCACGAATGGAATTACAGCAACATCAGTCACGCCACCCAAACCATCTTCTCCTACTGCGTGTCAGCCTTTCAGAACACAGAATTTTCCAGCAACAAGGTTTTTGGGGTCCTGTTTCTCTCATCTTTTATGCTGGTGATGATCTGTATCTTCATCAACTTGTTTCAGGCGCTGATTCTGTCTGCCTACGATGAGATGAAGCAGCCTGTGTATGAGGAGCCATCAGATGAGGCAGAGGCAATAACCTACCTGTGTGATAATCTAAGATCTGGGTTTGGCTTTCTCACCTCCCGATCTAGGGACAATGACCAATCCGAATTCTTGGTCGACATGATGTATGGGCAGCCAGAGAAAAACAATCGCCGGTTCCTGGGGCTGAAGACCAGAAACATCAATGGGAAGAAGATGGCTTACCTTGTTGTCTGACTGGTGAGGATTGGAAGGGCCACAAGCAAGACTGTCCCTAAACATTAGGTGTTTGTCAAGGGGACCAAAGAATGTCCTGATGGCTCGGTCATGCACATATCCACACCTGGAGTATCCCCGCTCTGGGCCCTGCTCTTGGGCCCAGAGCAGAGGGGAATATTGGGGGAGAAAAGAGGATGGCAAGGTGGGATTCCCTCTGGATGGGATTCAGGGACTCCTTTTGTGGGAGCCTGCAGCAGTATGGAGGAGTGACAGCCACTGATTTTGAGACCCAACCTCAAGGGAAAGAGCTGGCCAGGTCCCATCGTGGATTTAGCCTCAGGCCAGCAGCCTCTAAGCAGAAGCAAACTGGCCACTCTCCCTGGGAGACTCCCTTGCAGACCATGCCTGGGAAGCCTCTCTCCTCCAGCCTTTCTGCAGGCTCGGGTGAGAGGGGTCCGGTGCGGGGAGTGCCAGGACTGGCTTTAGAGTTTGAGGATGCAGAGATCAGAGCAGGGGACAGGGATCTGAAACTTCCCACTTAATCCCTTCAGAACAAGCATTTCTAGTGCACTTGGCAACAGTGTCTGACCAAGAAGCACAGCTGTTGCCAACAAAGGCGCACAAAGGTCCATGTGGAAACATGGTACCTGTTCTGAATATAACAATATGTGTCCGATGACTTGGGCGTTGGGGTACATTTGTGGACTGGGTGGATGATTTAGGAGGAAGGGAACGCGTTTCACTGTTTACGAAGAGCAGGGGCTAACCACTATTATATTGTTACCCAGAGGCATGCGCCTTTATGGTGACACCACTTTAAGTTTTATATGAATTAAACTTGAGATTTTTTCTGTGACCTGTGCAGTGATTTCTGTGTAAGGGATCAAGGTGTATCTGTGACTGCCTTCGATGGTGAGGGCCAGAAAAGGAAACACACAAGCGAGGCTGCGGCTGCACTAGACTCACAGCAGCGTCCTGCGACTTTGAAGACTCACCTGTACGACACTCTCTCTCTCTATTTTTTTTTTTTTTGAGACAGGAGCTAACTACATAATTCTGGCTGTCCTGGAACTCACTATTTAGATCTGCCTGCCTCTGCCTGGTGGCCATGGCACTCGCCTTTAATCCCAGCACTTGGGAGGCAGAGGCAGGTGGAACTCTGTGAATTCGAGACCAGCCTGGTCTACAAGAGCTAGTCCCAGGGCAGGCTCCAAAGCTACAGAGAAACCCTGTCTTGAAAAACCAAAAAATAAATGAATAATAAAAATAAAATAAAATCCCAGCTCCCCCCAGTGCTGGGATTAAAGGTGTGTATCACCATATTCAGCTTTATCTTAAAATTCATAAAAGTATATAATATACCTGGAATCTACCCACTCCTACCACTCCTTCTGTACTCCCCCAAGACTTCCTCTTCCCACCTTCATCAACCTCATCCGAAGTCCCGCCTACTCTGGATGTGTTTAGGACCATGACACCTCTTTCCCCAGTAGCCATCAGTTGCCAATAACTCCCGAGACAGAGCGGAGCCACAGGAGTCCCTCCCCCATCCATGCTGGAATGTTAACTGGCTTGGTCTTATGGTGTAGACTTGTACAGGTAAACTCGGTTGCTGTGAACTCATGAGGCCAATGGCCATGCCATGCCCAAAAGACAGCATGTCACAATGCCCTCCCCCGCCATCCCTCTGCTCTTAAGTTCTTTCTGGCCCCTCTTGTGAGATGTTCCCTGAGCCTTGCTGGGGGTGGGAGTGTTACAGATGTCCCATTTAGGGCGGAGCACTCAACAGCCCGGCTGTTTTGTGTTGTACTGTACATTGCTAATGGCTTTGTTACAGAATCCCTTTTGCTGCTTAATCTCAAACTCAACTGGCACTTGCTTGGAATGGCTGGAGCTCAGTGATTCCACCCATCTTCTGTGAGAGGGTTTTATTATATATATTAT